GCAGGTTGCTTTTGCATCTTTTACATGTTCTGGGCCTCTTCGATCCGTAGATCCCAAATCTGAGCTTTGAAACGGGTGAAAAGACCTTTTCCGGGGCGTTTTACCCAATTTCAAAAGGCAGCACGGACGAGAATTTCAATGGAAAATTGGGAGGACCTGGCACAAAGACCCTGCTGCCTGTAATTTTTGCTTTGGGTAGCATGCACAACTCAGACATTCGCGGTTGAGTCGCGCAGGACAAAACGAGGTGTCGTCACGGAATTCCTGCGCGACTCCCGAAATTGGTGTCGGGACAAAATCAGGACACCCGATTTTGTTTCGGAACAAAAGTGCGCGACAAAATCAGGTCCCGACGGACACATTCCGGACAAAATCGGAACACCTGCGGGAGACACCATAATGTCCCGATCGCGTTCAGAAAACGCAGCCTACGCTCCTTTTGATGGCCTCTTCCGTCCTCTGCGTCCTCTCTTACGCTTCTTTCTTCCTTTTCCTTACATCGCTGATCTCCTCTCTCCGTCTGTCTCTCTTTTATTCAAACACCATTTTAAGTTACAAAATTTATTGGATGACAATGGAAAACATCATACTTTTCAAGCAAACTGATGTAAAAAGCATCGAATATGCAAGAAAGGAACTCTATATTTGCTTATAACACAAAAACGTGAGGCAATACCCCAGCCACCACAAATGCACAATATTATCATGAATTCGTCTAGACGTCATCTTCGACATTCAGCCCCTCGATCATACTCTTTGTGTTGGTGCTATTTGCGGCCACGACACCCTTTTTCTGAAAACTTCGAATTATTTACAATAGTGATTATGTAAGGCAAGAAATTACCTTTGAGGGGAACGCGCTTCGGGTAGAAGGTGGTAGTCCATCGAGAATCTCTTCGCGCGCTTCGTCCTCGTCCGTTAAGATTAACTACAGGTGCTATTTGAAAGAAAAAAGATAAACCAAAAATGCAATTTAAATACCATGATGCCCATCAATTACCATCTTCAAAGAAGGAATGAAAGTTGCGAGTGCGTGCTTTGTGAATTAGAGCTACCCAGAAAACGTTTTAGCGGGATTTATTAGGTCGATTAATTCGTAGGGTTTCCATTTTTGTAGCCATTTTTAGTGAAGCGGCTGGTTTACGGCAAAGTACCTGTACCATTTGCAACAGCTGATCTTGCTCTATGCTCTGCTGTTCGTTTTCGGAATAAACCTAAGTCCTAGCCTAGCAGTTCTTGTAGAGCAAGATTAGTTCCTTGGCACAGGTACTTTACCGTAAACCAACCGCTTTATCAAAACGGCTATTAAAATAAAAACTTTACGAACTTATAAAACGACCAAAACGTTCTGAAGCTAAGACGTTGCGCTTTGTGTCCGGGGGAGGGGGAGCGGCGAAAAATCTTTTCAAATGAAGGTGCTGGCGTTAGCCATGCACTACGAAAAAGTTTTTGCGGTGCCTCCAAAAACTTTTGTGGGTCCCCAACCTCTAAAATCTGGAAAAAGTTGGCGTGGCGTCAGCCACCCCCCCCCCCAAAAAAAAATTTTTTTTACAAGGCTTATTTGAATTTTTGAAAAAGTTTCAAAAATTATTTTTATCAATTACAAGGATAAACAAGTTGCTTGCGCATGTTTATAACCTACGTAAGTAAATTTCAAAAATTTATTCTTGGGGGGGGGGCTGTATTAAATTTTAATTTTTCAGCTGTAGAGAAACTGGGAAATTTTTTTTGTTATTTTTGAAAACCCAGCTTGAGGTACTAAAGAAATTTGTAGTGTTGCACTTTTGTTCTACCCAACTGGTATACTATTAAAAGTTCGAAATAAAAAATGCGGAAAATTGCCAAACGGACATGTATAAGCATGGCCAAAACTTTTGCAATTAATGACCTCACGAGCAAGGTCCCAAAACATGACTGCTGGAAAGAGGAAGAAAAACCGCTGAGCAATCGTTAGGATGTTTGTTCATCTCTACTTAACGCGTTTTTATGCTACATCGAAAACGAGGAGCACTTTCGGAACGATCTGATATAATCAAAAAATCGAAAATTTTACGGTCTCACAAAAGCGAAGCTATGCTTTTTTACGTGAGTAGCTGCATACTTTAAGCCTTTAAAACTATAACGAGAGAATTCCAGCTTTCCGCACAAGCGCTAGTTTTCCGTTTCTCGTGGTGGATTGATGCGCTACGGCGAACTTTTACAAACCATCATGCAAAGATAGCTTCGCTGTATCGAATGACTTCCTGGGCTCTATTGATAGAAGAAGTGTATGACTTTTTGAGATGAAAAGTCAAAGTGCGACAAGATTGACGCAACAACCTTATACCTTCTTCTGCTTTTTGAATACAAAGTCGTGGATTAACTTTGAAGTTTGGAAAGTTATCTGAACTCTATTGGATTACGAGAGACCCTAACTCTATATGAATGTCCGACGTGGAGCATATCCGTGAGAAGAGGCCCGCAGAATACTTTTTGTGGAGATCCGACTTTCAAGGATTTTGCTAGCAGAATTTCATATGTTTTTTGGGTTGACTGATACAATTATTTGTATATGTGTGAAACATTTTGTAGAGCTTGCTATGGATACTAACCTCACATTTGAAAAAGGCATTCCGGTTTCGCAGAGTTGAAAAGAGTTCAAGACATCTCAGAAACCAAAAAAGGGCGCACCCTCTATCTTGAACAAAATTGCAGAGCTCATGAGTAAAGTTGCTAATTTGGACACGCGCCCTAATCTGAAAGAAAGTAGTATAAATTAGAAAACAGCGAATTGCAGCTTGGCAAATGTGCTGTATACCGACGAAAATGATATAAAGTGTATGAGTAGACTTGCCCAGTCAAAGTGTATCATTCATGGGACAGATGGCAGCCGTTTGTAGATAATAGCCAGCCAGCCAACGCTATAAAGAATTTTAAATGAAATCAATAAGCAATTATAAACAATTTAAATGAAGGAGAAAAAACAGAGTCATCGAAGAGAAAAGCACTAACCAGCAAAATCCAACCAATCAAAAGACGACTCCTATTTCGCAACTCCCAAAACTCCACTATCATATGCGCGCGTAGCTGATCGGGACAATAGCATCAAAATCGGGACAAAACTAAAATGATGACTCCCGCCGCTGCACCGATTTTGATGCAAACATCCACTCTGTGGGCGGATCTCCTGCGCGACTCAACCGCGAATGTCTGAGAATGCGGGAGAGAGGCTTTGGGAACGCGACGCGCCGAACGGTAAGCGAAGTCGTCCGAGCGCGCCGCTTGGGGTTGCGCGCGCCTTAGGCCGAGAAGATAGTTCTTGAACTGCGCGAATCGCGGGGTTCAAGGGTCATCTTCTCAGCCCAGGGGGAACAACAACCAGCCGGATTGCGCACAGAGGTCAGTGGGATGACCAAGAATCCCAACATAGCAATATCCTCCAGAGCGCGAATTTGCCGGGACACTGCTTTTAAAGGCAGCGTACACCCAGAATCTATGCTATCCAGTTTTCTACACGGTGTATGAGTAGGGCTTAGAAGAAGACCAAGTGAGTTGGTCGGGTCTCCCAATATTGTTTCTAACAATAAGAGGAGAAAACGCGCCTCTTTTTTTGCGCTCCGCCCTTTTTGCGGCCCTCTTCCTTCGGAAGAATCCACGACAGCGTATGCTGTAAGCGTACCCTGCAGATACAGGCTATCATGCAGTTGCAGCTGCTCTCCGCTGGCGTGCCGAGAGGTCAAGCAATTCGAAACTCAGCCCTTTGAAGATAAGAGTCCTCGGAAATTGGTGTTTTTTGAGGTTTTGGAGAATTTGAAATTCATAGTTATGATCAGACTCACGGACAGCCCCAGAGTAACAAAAACATGGGAGGTAAAATTTTAGGCATATGCTGCTTTTAAGGTTTATGGACGGAGACACAATTTTTTGGCTGTCCGTAATTTTTTGTTATTGGATTCAAACTTCAAGTGGAAGTCACTCCATCTTTTAAAGCTTGCTTTGCTTTTCGAAAGGTATCCCATTCACTGATTTTCGTGATCACTTTCTCGCGGTGGGATGCGATGCAAAATCATTTTCTAGATAATCTATTATATCATTTTGATGGTCATGACACGACTGAAAGCAATGACAACGTCGTCCACCCTCAAAAGTACTCTTGAACAAGATGAACCAGCATGCTTGTGCGCGAGTTTCTGTGCAAACTTCACAGTTTCTCGTTTTTGCTGAACCACAGTTTTCGGGAACTTTGGAACTCGTAGTGTAAAAGATTAAAAAAACGTTGCCTTTATTTTCGAAAAAAAAATTTGCACAAGCTCTTGTTTTAGCACAAAAAAAATCTATGAAAACGCAATTTTGTCTTGCTGGGATATCTGAGATATCTGAGATAAAGGTCCCTGTACTTGCTTCAGTCATATAATGGTCACTGTACTTGCTTCAGTCATAATCATTCCCATTTTTTTGTAGGCTTGACCGAGGCATCGCCTCGGATGACTTCTATGGTGAAAAGTGTGTTGTGTTCTCTTCTGTAGCTCGAAGTGAAGGTTGTCAGAGTAAATGGCTCTAGGTATAGAGGAATGGCTGTACAATTGGTTAACTCTCCAAATTTTTTTATGTGTATTTAAATGAAACAGTTTTAGATTGTCTGGCATGATCAACAGCTTTCTTAGAGAAAATTTCACTTCTTTCAAGACCGATTTTGAAACAATTGGCAATTTTTTTCACATGCACCGTTGGTAGCTAGTGCATGCAAATTTCACTCAAGGCTCTGCTCTCGTACTCTCGTCCCACGGTAGCTCCTCGCCTTCTTTGCCCTCAACACGATACAAAGCCTACCCTAAGCCAGCCTGCCCGTGCGGAGCCCTGACAGACAGATGTCTATTCAGATGTTGCGTTAGGAAAGCAGGTGTCGTCAAAATTCGGGATGTGAAGTTTATGAGTGCAACGATCTACGACCAAAACGTCACATTCTTTGAAAACACACAAGTCTTCAGTCTTCGATGTGAAAAATTTTATTCACATTTCAGAGCGCTTGAAAATGGTGACATAGTGTACGAGATAGCAGGGGCTACGACTAAGGTCGCAACGACAACAAAGGCGGCTACGACTAGCGTCACCACGACAGCAAAGGCTACGACTAGCGCCGCAACAACAGCAAAAGCTACGACTAACGTCACGACAACTGTTACTTCCCTGAAGTCGGTCGCTACATCATCAACCCCTACATTACCGAAGCACATAACAGAGTGCGCATCGGCACCAACTACACCATCATGTAAGCTGTAACATTCATCCAAATTCGAGTTTCTCTTGTTTTTGAGACACGTCTAGTTTGATTCGCAGGCCTCGCTTAACTTCTTTTTATGTTTCAAAGTAATAGCTTTTGAATCAAAAGAAAGGCACAATGGTCATCTGTCTACTGGCAAAAATAGTGAAGCATCACATACAATCATAACGTAAAACCAATCATCATAAATCAAATTGGCGAGGTATACAGATATGGTAAAAAAAATCATTACTGATGGTAAAAAATCATCTGCAGCATTTACTGCTTTTTGTAAAAGCTGTTCATTCAAGCAAGAGAGATTATATGAAGTGTGATTATAACAGTTATGGTTTTCATAATGAAATTTTACACTGCTGATACATTATCAAGTCGCTCCCAAACTGACCTTACCGTTTTTTGGCCCATCATAAAAGTAATGGAAAACACATATCAAAGGTATTCAGCTCACTATTTCATTTTCGTTTCGAATTAGTTGCCTTGTTGATTCAAAATCGCCGAGTTCAATCCTGAATATTTCCAACCGGAGTGCCAAAGAATTTCGATTGCAGGAAAAAAAGAATTTAATAACAGGCAAGTACAGAAAACATTTGATGCGTGTCTTTTCCGGCCTTAAAAGTAGTGGCTTAAAAAAAAGCAACTGCAAATTTTTCACCCCTCTTTGGTCTTCTGGATGCAAAGTCCAGAAGTGTGTTTGAAATCTATCGAAACTGCCAGAAAAGTGCTCTTTATAGCGTTTTCCAACCTTGGAGCTTGCTGAGGGGTTTGGACGAGAATGCCTTCCAACTGAGATGCTATTGGCTGCCTGAGCACCAGCCAATTGCAGCGCCGTTGAACTTTGCGATTGTGGAACAGAGATGACTCCAAATTTGGTTGGAGAAGGAGAAGTAGTGTACAAAAGAAGAGAGGCAGGAAAAAGTTTTTTAAAACACAGGTATTTTGCTCGTAGTTACCAAACATGATAGGGGAACGTAGTGTGCTGTTATTTACAAAATCTTGAAATTTTATAAAATTTTGGCTCAAGGGGCTAGTCCTGCGTTGATGACTAATATGGAATTCCTTTCATCTGTGGTGGACATATGAAGAGGTTGCGGTAGGTTACGGTAAGTGAGCCAAAGAGCAGAAATAGTTGAAATTTGGTACATTGGAGTGATTTGTGACGCAAATCGCGGAGAGTTATTTGCTACGTATAGTGGTGTTATTTAGAGCGATTACTTTAGGTATACGATAAGTAGGACAATCGCAAAAATGGCTGAAAGTTGGTCCTGCGGGTTTTTTTGGCGGCGCGTTGACCACAAGCTTAAAAGATATCATGCGGTGGTGTCGTTTGTAGGTTTACGGTGAGCACATGGTAAGTGGGCCAAAATCATAGAATAAAGGCAAAGAACAGAGGGTTTATTTTGTGCGCAAAGAATAGTCCATTCTTTTCAATGCGTTACCTGCTTACTCTATCTGTTTGGAACTTTCACCTGCGCAAATGACCAATCCGTGCGATAAACTATCATTCCTTGATGAAAATGATCAATGAGTCTTTGATGTAACATGTTTTGACATGCTTTATGTTACTACAGTGAATATATTGAGAGTGGGTCGTGGTTTAGCGGTTTAGTGGATTAGTGATAGAACCATCGCGCTAAACCAAACAAGTTCGATTCCGGACTTGATCCTAATCTTTGCAGTAACGTGCATAACAGCTTCTCAAACTGCAAATCGAAACTCCGCCCCCGGGAGTTGGGTCTCGGAACTCTGGAAGTGGAACTCAGAGTTGCGATGAGCAAAACTCTGGGTTTCAAGAAGGGAACTCGGAGTTATCTCTTTGTAAACGAGGAGCTTTGAACTCTGAGTTTTGTGGTTAAAACGGACACAGCTTTTTACGAGCCGCTTTATTTTATCAGTAACTAGCTGGCTTACCCGGCTCCGCCGTATCCGGACCAAACTTGGCACACATACACTTCGGGCCCCGGCGGGTGTCACAGTCCACTTTTCGTTATCGATCGATGTCGATTTTACCGATTTTTATCGATTTTTTTGCAGAGTTCACCTACAGGGCTAGGAGTTGGCACAGGGGGGGAAGTGAGCATGGGGATTCCGAATACAATATTAGTTTTCAGAATTATCGATTACTTTTATTGATTTTATCGATTTTTTGTAAATTTTGACATGCGAGGCTCGGATTTTGCACAGGGGGGTAATCGAGCATGCTGATTACGAACACATTATTAGTTTTCAGGATCGTCCATTACTTTTATCGATTTTATCGATTTTTTGTAAAGTTTGACCTGCGGGGCTGGGAGTTTGCACAGGGGGTAATCGAGCATGCAGATTACGAATACAATATTAGTTTTCAAGATCGTCCATTACTTTTATCGATTTTATCGATTTTTTGAAAATTTGAGCTAGGGGGCTGGAATTTGGCACAGGGGTGTAATCGAGCATGCTGATCACCCCCCTTGGGGATGATCAGCATGCTCGATTACCCCCCTGTGCCATCTCCCAGCCCCGTAGCTCAAACTTTGCAAAAAAATCGATAAAATCGATAAAAGTAATCGATAATCCTGAAAACCAATATTGTGTTCGGAATCCCCATGCTCGATTACCCCCCTGTGCCAACTCCCAGCCCCGTAGGTGAACTCAGCAAAAAAATCGATAAAAATCGATAAAATCCATATCGATCGATGACGAAAAGTAGCCTATGACACCCGCCGGGGCCCGAAGTGTATGTGTGCCAAGTTAGGTCCGGATCGGTTCAGAAATGGAATTTTCTATTCGGAACATACGTACACACATACAGACAGACAGACAGACATACAAACAGACATTCAGCTTTATATATAAGATGTGTTCGACGTCAATTCTGTATTTCCGTAGTCAGCATGTCAGAAAATATATGCAGACACGTGCAAAATTTATGGTCGAAGGTTTGAAGACACTCAATTGCCTTTCTTCGTTTGTCACCCTGCACTGGGTAGTGGTACTATCACTTGATTGCCTTGGATGGCCTTTGCAAGGTAGATGTATGTTATTCGCAGAGACCGGCTCAACGTAAGTGGGTTGATGGCAAATGCTCGCTCAGCTTTCAAGGATGGTTCCAAGGTTTTTCAGTGTGTTTCTCCAAAGAAGGAAGAGAACACACACTGAAGTAGGTTTCTTGTTGTACGTAGTTTCACTTTTCCTGAACATTGACGATAACACGCTAGACAACTAGCCAAGAAGTTCGTTGAAAGTAATTCCTAACTTCTTCAGACAAAAATATGGCTGATAAAAAGAGGACCAATAACCAATAGCAACAGAATTATGTTACATTGGCTTTGTCAGAAAATGTGCAACTGCGCTTAATGAAAAAAAAACCCTCTGCATCTGTAGAAGTTTTTCGTTGGCAAAAGTCTGCAAAGCTCCACTAATTTTATCCAAAAAGGAATGTCAATTTGTTGAATCCGCATAAGCATTTGCCGCAGTGAAAGCAAACAAGGTGCGCCTCGTATACTCAAAAATGCGCCACACTCATTTTTTATAGCTAGCAGCATTCCAGATTGCGCTACTTGAACCAGAAGCTAAGTAAATAATGTGTAGTTTTTTCTGAATCGGCTGTTTCTGGAACGCTTCACGCACTAACTGATTCTAAAATTTGAAACTTACAAAAATAAATTATAGTTGACACTATTTTACAAAGCAAATGAACGTTTACCGCTTTGACGTTGGACTTCGAACAGTGACAGCCTGTGATGAGACTAAAAACAAAGCTGTAACAATTCTATCCCCGAACACTTTATGAATCGAGAGGGAAAAGCATCTACCAGAAAAAGGAGAAGGAGCTGCACCTGATGGCACACAAACTGCTCGTCGCGTGACTTTACAGGGTGTCCCAAAAAATGTTAACACTGTTTAATCGTTAATAACTTCGCTGCTTTCATATCTTTCACCGAGCATGAGGCATCGTTCTGCAGAGCGAGGTTGAGCATAGATTTGTAGTACAGGGCGAATCATTGATCGCTCTTCATTACTGTAGGAATACGCTATGGACTTCTAGCATGTGGATTCATTGTGAAATATGCATTTCAAAAATTTTTTAAAAAATCTGAAAAATTGTGTACGGTTTTCGCGCACTCTGATTTCACTACACGAGTTTTTCCGAGTGTTTTTAGCTTTTCTGAAGGTATAATCACATTTCTGAGACAAATGCTGGAAATTCAGTTATTACGGTACCTGGGATAACCTTAGAAAGAAGCATCACAGTAAATTGGTTTCACATTTAAAATCAGCGGCTTCCTTTATTATAGTAAAAGAGTTTTCGATTTGTTTGGTTTTGTTCCGAGGCGAAATATGGCCTCCAATGGCCTAAAATCCTTGCTGAGGTTCTTACCGTAATCCTACAGTAACTAAGAGTGATCGATGTTTCGCTCCATGCTGTTGATCTAAGTTGAACTTGCCATCTCAGCAATTTTTAAGAACTATCTGGTCCATGTAGATTTGTCGCTAAATTGTCTGCCCGTTATTTATTACTTGTTTGGAATTGCTCATATGCTAAAAAAAATATTGATCTTTCTGGGAATTTTCGTACCGAAATAGTCATATTCGCTGAGATACAACTTTGTTAATCGCTACTATTACCCAGACATCTTCAACAGATGAAGGAAGTCGTTTACACGTTGAATAGTTGAGCGTCTCAATAGAAGAATTTTTACTGCAAGCCGCTTGCTTGCATGTGCTCGCAAATTTCACAAATGCATGAGAAAAGAATATGCGTGATTATGCCAGTCTATGTTGGCTGCATAAGCCATTATCATAAATATTCCAGGTATAACACAGTCGCCAAAGAGAGTCAGAAGAGAGGCAAAAGCTTCGCCTTTTGAGGATTTTCTTATGAAAAAACCAGCTCCAGCAAAAGGAGGAGGTACGTCTATATCAACTTTTTCAATGAGAGTTTCGAACTTTTACAAAATTAATTTTTCATCAGGTCTAGTGACTGATTTCTTGATAAATTTCAACGCTTGATTTAAGACCATGATCTGTAGGAAATTACCTACGCTTGCATTCTTAATCTTCCTTTTCAAAATTTGTAATAATTAGATTAGAACGATGTACGCACGGCTGCTGTGGACAGCTGTCAATGACTAATGAATCGGAACCTCAAAAGTGGCCGAAACTTTGAATAATGGGGTTATTTGATCCGCCTGACACTAACGTCATAATTATTTTCTGAATCGACGCCTCTTTTCTTGTCTAAGGTGGAATCCTATGCTGTGAAGCCGCGGCGATCTTACAAAATAAAACTCTTGCCATGTAATTTCAGTATCGTTTACGTGATCACCATGTTAGATAACTTCTATGCCTAGCTTCAGCCGAATAAGTTTACGAGAGTTTTGCAAACCACTCAAATTTTCAATTTTTCACTTCTGTGTTCACTTGCGCTTCTCCTCTACAGTAATTTTTTGGATGAATTTCGGCACTCTCTTTCCTATGGCGGCACTCTGGTGCTTCTACTGTTTTGAAGGCAAGGAAAGAAAAACCAAGAAATTCCAAAACCAAAATTTCCTCCTTTTATGTGCATCATGCAGAAATCAGTCGGTAGCCAGAGGGAGGCGTGCAAGTGGTACCCGGGCAGCCGACTGCTGCCGCAGCCAGCCGCCGGAGCTGCCGGCAGAGCAGCTGCAGATGGTACAGTAATTACGCTCGTCGTCTAAAACTCTTGCCGAGAAGTTTTCTCGCACCTCGTCGCTTTGAGGTGCGAAATCAGCCTCAGGAAAGCGTGATATCCTCGAATTTATCATTCTGACAAAAAAAATTCATGTTTTTGAAACTAAGCAAATAAACAAAAATGACCAGAGAAAGGTTTTTCTAGAGGAAAATGATCACAAAATCAAATCACTTCAAAACTCAAAGGAAGCAGAAGCCAAAAAACTTTAAATTCTCAAATTTCTAGAGATTTTTTCTCTCCTTTACGTCGAAAAATGGACGAGAACAATGGATATAACGGTAAGAAAACTATCAAAATGATTATTTCATACAGAGCGATGTTAAGCGAGCTAAATAAGGAAAAGTAGATCACTCAAATTGAGAAGGTCACTGATAGCGTAATATCCTCAATATCTATCATTTTCAACAGCCAAAAAAGCCATATTTCATTGAGAATTATACAGTCGAATACAAAACTACACCGAAAAATTTCCAAAAATTCACAAGCAATTACAAAAATGAATGATTAGGATATCAAAAAGTTTTTTTTTGTTACAGATTATGAAATCAAAGTTCATTAAATATCTATTGAACACTTCAGAATTCGTGCGGTCTTGTTGAAGGATTAACAGAGGTAGTTCTTCTGATTTTGAGCTTTTATAATTCTCCAGGGCAATAAGAATTGATAGTGAATTTCGAATTTTTTCATTATTATCTTTTTATTTCCTCAAAATACCTGGAGAAGAGAACGTTGTAGATGTTAAAATAGCATTTGTAATTTTTCCTTCGAAAAATCTCCCGCTGTTTACCTTTGCTATTTGCATGTTTCTCAAAGTCTTGAATTTTCTGCTGTTACAAATAATATAGATATTGAGGATATTACGCTTTCCGCTTTTCCTGAGGCTGATTTCGCACCTCAAAGCGACGAGGTGCGAGAGAACCTCTCGGCAAGAGTTTTAGACGACGAGCGTAATTACTATACCATTTGCAGCGACTTTGTCGGCAGCTCTGGCGGCTGGCTGCGGTAGCAGTCGGCTGCAAAATTTCGTGAAATCATCGTCAGGCTACGCACCCGTAGCCTGACGATGATTTCACGAAATTTTGCATGGTTCCTCGGTCAGAATGGCAATGTCGCCAAGTTAATGGCTCAAATAGAGGCGTTAATGATGTATGCCTTTTTCCCATATTTGCTAAATGTTAGGTTGTCCCATAAATCTTTTCATACCTGAATTTTCAGCGACATAATTTAATTCTTCTTGAATTCCTAATAAAATGCAGGACACCGTTCGACAGAACAAAGCAAGGTCTACAAGATGTCGTTCAAAAGTTCGCAACAAGTTCAATCCGCAACAAGTTCCGAGCCAAAATAGAAAAATTTCCAATTACCCTAAAAAACGAAAATCATCATATCTCAGTTCAAAACAACTCTGCAAATTTCCCACTTTCTCATGCATATACTGTCCTCATCGGATATTCATACATGCCCTTGCTGCATTTTTTCTGACGGCTAGAAACGAGAAGAAAATAAGGCGCTCAATTTTCAAACTTTGCCTGTATCAGTTCTGTGTTCCCCGCAAATAGGTATTTATAGAGCTTATTAACTCAGAATTACTGCCACAAATTTGCAGTCTTCTAGGTGCTCTAGTTCTTGAGAAATATCGAATTGAAGGTTCGCATATGAAAAGACATATGGGACAACCTAATACCATGGACAATGCTGCTTCTGCCATTTTTTCCCGTTTCCTTTGCAGTCATAATAAAGTTCCTTACATCACTTATAAAAAATGACTTTCTCACATTTGCAAATAAGTATTAGGTCATTCCGAAAGTAATTTCGCTTTTTTTCAAACGGGCGCCACATTTGAAGGAAGAAAGGTTTCTGAAAGATATTGGAAGCATTCGATGCAGAATTTCATTTACTTTCTAAAGATTATGAAAATATTGCAAAACAGTCGACGAGCTTTCAGAAAATAACCAAAATCTGCGACCCATGCTTTTTGAGATGGTCAAGTTTCGCGATTTTTTGAAACTTTCATCATCCATCATTCATCAGTCCTCAGAAGGAGTTCGAGTAACGGTTTGATAGAGTAAACCCTACAGAATTCAGTACTGCTTTTTTCTCCTTTCCATAGCTTGTCATACATTTTCAACACAATTTTAACTGATGTTACCGATTTCCGTACTTGAGCAGCTAAATACTCGTAGAACATCAAAAGAAAGGCAGCTCGCGCACTATTCGAAGCAGCATTTCCTCCTCTTTTTAACAGGTGTTTTTTGTTTCCGATTCGTTTACTTTCCGGGTAGAAATCATCATAACTCATTTTTTTTAGCGAGCCTCAGGCTGTATCCGAAAAACTCGAATTTTGATATTTCGAACCCATAAACCCTCACCTGCTTTGTAAAATTAATGCTAACTCACAGTACCATCTTGGTAGGCTCAAATTACAAATTATGATGTTTGATGCGATTGTGGCCGAGGAGGGCCTGCCAAAATCCGATGATTCTGTTAAAAAATTTAAAAAAATTACGGCGAGCTGCGAGAAAGAGAAAAAGTAGTAATATATTCTTAAGGTTTACTCTAGCGAACCGTTACTTGAGCTCCTTCTGAAGACTGATATGAAAGTTTGAAAAAATCGCGAAACTTGACCATCTCAAAAAGCGTGGGTCGCAGATTTTGGTTATTTTCTGAAAGCTCATTGATTGTTTTGCAATATTTCCATGACCGTTAGAAAGGGAATGAAATTCTACATCCAATGCTTCCAAGATTTCTCAGAAACCTTTCTTCCATCAGAGTTGGCGCCCGTTTGAAAAAAGCGAAATTACTTTCGGAATGACCTAATACTTTTGAGATCTTTTGGAGTTCAATTTGTTTTTTTTTCGAAAAAAATCTTTGGAGTTCTGACTGCGGTTCGCTAAAATTTTGGAAAGCATCCAAAAAAATTTTCAGAGTGCGTGGCTAAGCACGCACCTGTTCAAGAATATTCTCCGTCCACCCTTTCCCTTCTCCCGAAGGGAATTCCTGGGATTGTCACTGTCTGAACATGTAATCTGGTTCATTTTGATTCAGGAAAATCCCATCGTAAGAAGACACTAACCGCTCACCGCACTCATGCAGCCAAGACAGCAACTGGAGAAAACTGAACGCCGCTTGCTTTGGTACGGGACATCCAGCGATGTTTCCTTGTGTTTTTCTTTCTGCTGATGACTTCGTAATTTTCCTTTTTTGCCAAAAATGACATCGCTAATTTTTGAAAAGAAATTGTTTCAAATACTATAGCCGATAATCAACGGCAACGCGTTTCATTTCAACTTCACTAATGTGGGAATAAAGCTAATAAAAGGTTTTATGTTATGAAGTGCAGAAAAATTGTGGAATAATTCAAGGGATTTAAGGTAAGACAGTGCAGCTTGCAGTAATACATTTGACGACATTTTTAGTTTGTCCTTTATTTAAGTTATTCACTGTATAGACAGTTGGGGTCGAAAAAGATCGAGGCCTTGGTAAACCTTGGTCAGGAGAAATGATCTCCCCTGAGGTACTCATGTAAGGCTCCGCCAGTAAGTTGACGACCGCCCACTTCCCCATACTATAAGTATGCAAACCTGACAGGTGAGCCTCAGGTCAAGTTTAGCAAGGAGATCATCTCCCGATCAAGTCATGAGAGATGACCCGAGTGATGACCGAAGTAATTAGACTCACGAAAAATGCCCTATGTTGCTCTGACGAGGGAAGGATACTTGGTCGAAGTGGCATTTCCATACAAAATGTATTACATTATATAGAGCATGGAATCCTGATTTCAAACCTGCTTACGATATCTACAGAGCGCTTCAAGGAAGAGCCATTGCAATAAAATCATGCCGTTGCAAAAAATCATTCAAAACTTTAGTCCGTGAGCTCAAATGGGGCCCTGATTACACCAGGACGCTTTAGGCAATCAATACTTTCAGTCTAATAAACTCATGTCAGTTACTTCCTTTAAGCGCAGGAAAAAACTCACATTGAATTTTTATCTCAAAAAATTCCCAGCACCCCTCTTAGGCCCGTATGCACGTACATCCCCTCGGGGAGGGGAAGGGATCTGAGAGGGGAAGCGTCATATCTCGCTACTCTGTATACCTTTCTTCTTACTTCTTTATCTGTAATATGAAGGTTCTCATACCCTGAAATCTAGGCATAATAGATGCCAGGTTACTGCCATACAAGATTAGATTTTAACCAGCTTAGGTGATCCCCGGGGGTCCTGTACTGAGGATATACTACGGCACTGCTAAGCATGTTTTTGACAGAAGAAATGGAATCTGAAGATTATAATTTTTTCGATAATTCCTGGCTCGCGAGCAGCGGTTCATCGAAAATTTCGATATCCTGAGATCTCTTGTTTCTACGATAGACATGTTTAGCACTACCATATTATACCTTCAGCATAAATTTAGAACATTTTCATTGAATTTGTAGGAAGATAAATGACTTTGAAAATGAGCGGTGATCCCCTGGGGATCACCAGGGGATCAAACAAAGTTGTAAAAATTTAATCTTGTATGGCAGTAACCTGACATCATTATGCTCAGGTATTAGGGTATGAAAACCTTCATATCACAGATAAAGAAGGAAGACGAAAGATATACAGAGTAGCAAAATATGACGCTTCCCCTCTCAGATCCCCTCCCATCCCCGCGGGGATGTACGTGCATACGGGCCTTAGAAGTGCTTTGCACTTGAAGAAAGCAGATTTGGAATCAGCGTTCCATGTTCTATAAGACAGTATACATTTCATATAGAAACGCCACTTCGATCAAGTATCCTTCCGTTGTGAGTTCCCCATTTTCACGCGTATGAAAACGCACCTTTTTCGGTTTTAAGTGTGCCGCTCAGCCGTCTCGTTGTGTTTCGGAAAACGACGCTTATGCTGCATGCTACTTTCAGGCAGGCAGCACCGTAGATAGGTTTTTGGTCACGAAGTCCTTCGGCGTGTCTGTGCTGCTTGATTTAAAAAAAATCCCCGCGTCCTATACTCGTGAAAATAGGGTAACTTACAATACACCTTATGGCGCCTAATAATGCAATAGACTTCGTAAAAATGCACAATTCATCGGGCTACGAAAAGAAAGGATCGATGAGCTGATAGCAGGCATGAAAGAAGCAAATAATTTTTATTCCTTTTTGCAAGGTTTGCTTAGGTTTTGGTAAGATCTCCATAAAATAAAAACAAATACATTTATCTCATCCTGTTTCTGCTCCAGAAATTTTTATTTCAATCGTTCATGCCGAAATATCATGATTATTTTTTGCTCATCAACCCAATACATTTTAAACGTAACATCTCAATAATAATTGATTTGTTTTGTGCTGTAAAAAATCTATCAGCACTCTTTTTGTGTAGCCCAGATCGTGAATTCCAGGCGCATAAAAACCGTCTACGATCTACTGTGTTAGCGCTGACATCGAATGCAATCACTTTGCTTTGCTCAACACTGCACGAAAACACTCACCATTGCACCAATTCGAGCAGCTATGAATTGATATATTGGGCCATTGTGTGCCGTGCACCAAGTAAATACTTCTATTGATGTCCAATTCTTGCCTTTAGTGTTTGTCTAAAAACCATAATACGTCGGCAGTTTTGACACTTCGTCATGACTCCTTATCAGGTGATCTTCAGTTCAACAAGAAACAAAGGCAAGACCCGAAAAGCCCTGAAATCCCACATTCTAAAGGCATGCCCAGGCAGGTCTTGTGCGCGCGTTTTTTTTCTGAGAATTTGATTGAGAGACTCTAGCTAAATCATGCGTGAGCAGCATCTCGTAAACTCACCTTGTGGTTGGAAATTTTATCTTCAAACTTTCACCAGACATTCTTGTCAGATCAATAATACCAATTTGAGCACGTTGTATGCCAAGTTACATAGGATAAAATTGATCTGCCATAAATGCAAATTATATGAGCTGCGGCTTGGGTGACTGCTTAGCAAGAGATATCCAGGAGAGTGTTCTCAAAACTGTTTCAAAAAGTTTTCTGAATAATTTCGAAACCAAAATAACGTGTAGTGAAGTGTAATTAGGTAGCCCATAACATGACTTTATTGATGAAAGCATACTTTTGCAATTTCTGAAAGAAGATTGACTTCAAAGCTCAAATGGCAGGCTTAAAAAGCCATGAGCCCTGATTCAATGTTAAAGCTATCATGTAGAAAAGTAGAGAAACCTAAGTGCCTCGAAAAGATTAAAAACAGCATTTCTACGAAGCCTTCATTTATTTCGCCATTACAACAAGATTTGAACAAAAGCGATTATTCTCTCAGCTTTGCGAGAGCTTAAGGTGCAGCAATATATAGTACATGTTCTACACAATAGCCTAAAGCACGTGTTTCTAGTAGTCAGTATTATGCAAAGCGCTCAATCGCCTTTGTTAGAAAAAATACACATATACATATACAGACTAGATACAGCACTTCTTACATACAAATGCTGTCTACGACTCTAGAAGCAATCAGTAGCAGAGGCTAAAGTTTTTACAAGACATTATATAAACGATCTGGCTTTAATTGTATGCACGTAGAAGAAAAACTAAATTTTTTAGGTCCCCTTTTATTCTTCATTTTTCAAGTTATTTGTCGAGTAAGGTATCACTGACAAAAAAGCGCAAAAGCAATTTTTTCCTTGGACTTCGCAAAAGAATCTTATGAATTGATATTATGGCCTAATTGAAACTTATGGTAATTGAATTTTTATCTAAAAGAAACTTTAGTCCGCAGAAAGAAAAGAAAAAATGCCAGCAGAAAGAGAAGGATAAGCGTGATATAGAGCAGTTATCCTCCATTAATAGTTTTTGTGCGAAAAAAACAAAATTAATACAGAAAAGTTCTTGTGAATGGATCTTTTTCAACAGCGTAATATACAGGGTGTCTTCACATTAAAAATCAGCAACTCTAACTAACCCTGTATGAGAGTTTTCAGATCGTTTTATTTCGTTTCTGAGGCAAAAGACGGCCTTTCGTGGCTCAACTCCCTCTTCAAAGTTCCTACCGTAAACTTACAGTAATGAAGAGCAGTCGGTAATTCGCTCCATGCCATAAACATAAGTTGAAGCCCGCTCTACAAAATGGTACCTAAAGTTTCTCAGACTTTATTACAAGAGACTTTATTAACAGTCAAACAGTAGGCGCATCTTTTTGGGACATCTTGTATAACAATATAATCATCAATCAGACTAATGTGCGCTTCTTTCCATACGTATATGAAGCATTCGTTTTTGTCGTCGTTGGCTCTAGAAAACATTTTGCTCTTCAAAAAAAACCGTTACTCATTAAGTTTTTGTTGCGGCTCCATTTTCAATGCGCTTAGGTTTTTCTTCCATTTCTTCAAAAAATATTTCCCAAAATGAGCAGAAGAAAGACCGTTTCTGCATAGCTCTGATACAAGCAGGGGTATGGCTCCAGAATCTGCAGCAAAAAGTTGAGCAGAAATGAGTATCTTGCATTTGGGAAGACTATAGGCGATGCAATTTCTGTGAGATCAAGGCTTAAAATCACAGGAACAAATTCGCACTCGGAGTTTCTTTGCATCTTATTTATGAAAACGTATACTTTTACTAATGTGCCCAGTATTTTTTCATCACGTTTCCGCTGGACAAAAGTAATAGAAAACAATGTTCCATATCTCCATATCCATAGTTTCTACGTGCTTATTCATTTAAAAAAACTGCATTGATCACGCTGCATCAGTCTAACTTCTTCGGTTTAATAGGAAAAAACACCTTCCAACTGCGAAAATATCTTCAGTTCCGAAAAGCTTTCGAATCGGTCAGCTTTTGAATGTCAATTCTCGAATTATCAAAATAGGTGCAAATTTGGTGTTTTTTCATCAACACAACGCTGCAACAAGGTACTTGACAAAATAGTCAGTAAAACTACAAACAATACTCTATTATCTGCAACCAGTCCAAAGCGCCGCTTCGCGGCGCTTTGGACTGGCTGTGTGTGTGAAGTGGGAATGTGACTGAAAGTTAGAACCTTTGAGGTTTTGTAGCGAACCTTTTCCTCTCCAAAAGTATGGCATGGATTTGAACACGTAATGAGCCCAGAAGTTATCAAAGTAACGGATCTTTCCTGCTTTCGGAAGTTTCGGAAATTTTCTCATGAAAATTGGCAACAGAATTATGAATGCTCCCCTCCTAGCTTTTTCTAACCGCACCCACTTCCTTGAGACACGAATTTACAGATGCTTAATTCACATATGCTCGAATCTTATATAATCTTGCGTTTTGCTATACCAGTCTTTCAAGGTTTCCCTCCCCTCAACTCATTAACCCAGTAACTTCTTAATCAACTTTGCTGAAGTACCACTCTCTTCTCACATTCTCGCACTCTTCAGTTCTGAGGGCATTAGTTGTAGGAGGCCGTTCTGACTCACGCTTCGGAAGTTGCCCCCAAATTTGCTTATTCAAATGTTCAGTCTGGTCACGATTTAGACAGGCTTAGCCTGAGTTCTCCATGCTGCGAAGTTTCTCGGATGCTCTCAAACTTTTACACGTCAAAAAACGTAACGCAAAAAAAATTTTGTGATTGAAGCGCCCGTCCCAAACCCGATAAAGTAATCCCAACCATGTGCACTCTTCCCACCCGGAGCCGTTTCCCACATTTGATCCTCCAAACTGCCTTAGAACCCCCTCTCCCCCCCCACCCCAGAAGCTTCAATGAGACTACTCTCATCTCTTCACGAAATTAAACTAAAGAAAATTCGAATTGTTATTCTTGAAAATATATAGCCAACATTGGAACTACCAAATCTAGAGCTTTTCAAATTCGAACACTCCCTTTTTTTCAGCAGTATTCTTTTTGAAAGCGTCATAATTTCTCTTTTATTTCAAGAAACTCTCGTTCGTGTTTTACGAGGTTCCCAAAATATCCAGCATCCTTGCAATTCATAGTAGGCTCCAAAATCGATCATTTTTCAGGTCATCTTATTGAGCAAGCTCAAATTCTCAAAGGAACCTACTTAAAGGTGTCCATGCTTCTAGCTGCTCACCTAGGCATATCTCGTTTCTTATACAATTTTGAGGTTTTGTGCAATATTCTGGCAAAGCTGCGCTGTACGTTGGTAAAGCTTTAGTTTACGTAAAGCTAAGTTGCATGCCACCTTGTCTCTTATTCGTAGCTGAGATACTAAAGGCGGATTCATACAGCATTTAGTCCTAATATAGCAAACGCGATCGCATTGACATTCTTTTACATCACTTTTCGAATTTTTGATGTTTGAAGGAAAACTCGGAAAGTTGAAAGTGTTCTTTAGAGTTTACTTTTCTTAGCTGAAGGTTTTTGCATCCAGCTTTCATCGAGTCTTAAGACAATTTGCATGACCACGCTGTATTCGTTTGGAAAAATAGTGTTTCGTACAATTGTTGGCAACTATCTAAAAGGTTCACACAGTATTGGGATGTCAACTCAATGGAGTCCAAAAATTTCGAAGTTCATCAACTTTGACAAACATCTTTGCATGTGAATTGAAAAGAAGAAAATCTAAAGAGCCTGTGGTGTAGACATTTCAGACAAAGTGCTTATTCATGAAAAATCGTAGGCAAAGATTGTCCAGAGCAAAGTTTGGAGAATCCTCCAAAAACAGATTTAGTGCAGTTTACCTGGGGAGAACTTCTTCTTGCTGAGATACGTTAACAGATAAATTAGAAGGACAGAATAATTGAAGATTTGGCGCAGCTTTTACGGTGAGGAAACATATTAAGCACTCGAGAAACGGACTATGGAAGACTGCAGTATATTAAATACCTAACTTTTCCGAAAAACTTCTCCCTCCAAATTAAACGCTCCATAATAGAAATAGAGAAGCGAGATGTAAAAAAAAAGAACGTTATGGTGTTGAGATAATGTACAAACGATTTGGCCAACCCTTGGTGATTTTCGAAATGAAGCTATTACAGTCAGTGGAACAGCTTAATCAATTCAGCCAGTTCAAGTGGTGTTAATTTCATTGCTTTTGGTGCCAATTCATAAACATCGCTAGAGAACATGACCGAAAACTCTGGAGGCAGCATTGTATGACGTCATCAGCGCGACTGATCTTGGTCGCCGGGCGCGCTGCCATTAGCGGTAAACAACACCGGAACATACACACCATGCTGACTCACATGGGGGTGCTAGCGCTTTATATAATAGTATGGAGGAGTTGGCACAGGGGGGTAATCGAGCATGCTGATCATCCCCAAGGGGGGTGATCAGCATGCTCGAACACCCCTGTGCCAAATTCCAGCCCCCTAGCTCAAATTTTCAAAAAATCGATAAAATCGATAAAAGTAATGGACGATCTTGAAAACTAATATTGTATTCGTAATCTGCATGCTCGATTACCCTCTGTGCAAACTCCCAGCCCCGCAGGTCAAACTTTGCAAAAAAATCGATAAAATCGATAAAAGTAATGGACGATCCTGAAAACTAATATTGTATTCGGAATCCCCATGCTCGATTACCCCCCTGTGCCATCCTCCAAAAACAGATTTAGTGCAGTTTACCTGGGGAGAACTTCTTCTTGCTGAGATACGTTAACAGAAAAATTAGAAGGACAGAATAATTGAAGATTTGGCGCAGCTTTTACGGTGAGGAAACATATTAAGCACTCGAGAAACGGACTATGGAAGACTGCAGTATATTAAATACCTAACTTTTCCGAAAAACTTCTCCCTCCAAATTAAACGCTCCATAATAGAAATAGAGAAGCGAGATGTAAAAAAAAAGAACGTTATGGTGTTGAGATAATGTACAAACGATTTGGCCAACCCTTGATGATTTTCGAAATGAAGCTATTACAGTCAGTGGAACAGCTTAATCAATTCAGCCAGTTCAAGTGGTGTTAATTTCACTGCTTTTGGTGCCAATTCATAAACATCGCTAGAGAACATGACCGAAAACTCTGGAGGCAGCATTGTATGACGTCATCAGCGCGACTGATCTTGGTCGCCGGGCGCGCTGCCATTAGCGGTAAACAACACCGGAACATACACACACCATGCTGACTCACATGGGGGTGCTAGCGCTTTATATAATAGTATGGATACTGCTGTCACCATAAACAGCCATAATTATCAACTGTACGAGAACGTTTTACTCTAAATACGACGATTTTTCTGCATGTGCTTGATGATGCCGTCAGTTTCAGCCGAACATGAGCGCTTTTGACTGTTCCACAAAGTCATTGCTTCGCTTGGACTTCTCCCAGACTGTCCCACTGATCTCCTAAACAAATTCAATCAGCTGCGATCCGGGCATGACTAACAACCTGCAACTCCAACATCCTTTTCTCTTTTGCCTTAGCATCCAACGCGGATCAAACCTTTGCAGGTTATTTCTAAAAAAGTTTATGAAATTTGATACCGCGCAGGTGTTGATCCATAATGTCATCACAGATCTTCTTTAAATTGCAATTTTTTGTTTAGCGGCAGAGAGTCGGTGAAAGAAATACTCACAAAAGGAATGTTGAATTAAAAAAAAAACTTGAAACACAACACATCGCTGCTAAGGATAGAAAGGATAGATTTGTCGAAAGTATTCAATGGATAGTACTCGAAATTCTCACAACTTATTTTAAAAATAGCCTTTTATCGCAACAAAATGTTGTTAATGGGTTTAGCATGACAGCAACAAGGTCCTAGTGCTTATGCTAATAAAAACAAAAGTAGTAAAAAAATCCTACTGTATAGTCATTTTGAGAGAGTTAAGTACTTCTGCATTGAATCATTCACATCCTTAAAATTGTGAAAAAGCAAACAAACAAGTGATACCTACGACTCTCACTTTGCTCATCTCTTGCAAATCCTTCTGAGTCCATGATCTGTAAGAAAAAGTTGCATGTGGCACGCCCATGTTATAACTTACAGACAATTGTCGAGGGCACGCGGACACAGGGTTTTTTTTAACCACGGTTTAATCATCTTTATTCAAAAAAATTTCAAGCTTAGAAATTCCAACCAGGAGCAACAGCCTTTGCCATTTTGGTTGCTGTTCTCAATCAGCATACATGTTAAATTAGGTTGAAAAGCAAAAAATGTCACATTTTGAGACAAGACTTTTTGGTTTTTTTTCGCTAAAATTGATACTTCTCAAAACCAAGGGTTATCCAAGGCCAAAATTGCATGATTAGAGTTTCGAAGGTTTACAGCATACAACGGCATACATGTGGGGAAACCCACGTCTATTAGGGGGGGGGGGGGAGTTTGCCATTTTCCGTTTTTCAATCTTTTCTTGACTTCTAAGCACTTCTATATTCGGGTGGCTAGAGATGAACACCTTGAGCTGAAGTTTATTTTCCTTTCACTGTTACCTATGACGGTTTTTGTAGGATCATTGTTCTTATGATTCAGTCCAAATCATACGACTTTGGATTCGTAACATGCGCATACAAATACCATTAGAGATACTTTTTTTCTTTACACTAGCTACTTTACTTTTCTATCTTTTGAAACTTTAGGAAGAAGTTGTGTGACGAACTACGACCGCTGCAACTGCCTGTCTTACTCTGAATACTTTATTTCATCGTTAGATCACGTGGCAAAAGATTCGATTTCGCTTTTATGGAGCCTTTCATAGAAATGAGTATGAGCATACGGTTCTTATGCATTTTGAGATGAGGGAGTAAGATAAGAATCAATGGAAGTTCTGAAAGATATGTTTGGCGAAAATTAAAATCCTCTGAAAAATTTTGTCTCAGAAGTGTCTTGCAAAATGTGCATCAATATTGGAGCAACAAGTGTACATATAGCCAGAATACGTTTTGGAAAATCATGAAAATTCAAAATTCTCCCGGACGCTACCCTCAACTTTCCGCCTACCCTTGGCGATTGTTTAGTAAAATGCAACACTTCTTCGACAAGGTAATGATTCACCTCCTCATTTGTGAAAATTGGTGTTCGCAAGAACTTTAGCTTAATGATATTTCCGTAGTCGTTCGGCATGACTAGATGGCAAAATTGGAATGGTTCGTCGCCTTGAAACATTTTTAGATAATTCTCCAAAACTCTCTGCAAATTTGAACGTAGAGCTGGTATCATGAAAAGGATGTTATTTGAACTAAACTTACGATATAAGAATCTTCTTCAGCATATCGATGTATGGTGGGCAATCTCAAAACTTTCAAACTGTTGCGAACAGTGCACGAGCAATCGTTGAAGCTGAACGAAATCTGATAATCTTGTAATTGACAGCCTATGCATATTTGCATTATTGCCAGATACGCACATTGTGAAGGAGTATAAGGTAGAAATAAAAATCATCTAAAAATTTGATTAAAGTTCATATTATACCCCTGCATCTCGCTTGGCACAATCTTGAGTGTACCTAGCAGTGATGCAATCAACAGCGCAGTGATGAAATCAGCCAGTGTTCAGCCAATTTTTATATTAAACATTCTATTCAAAAGTTTCATACTACTCTAGCTTCGTATAATTGATTTGGCTCTTTCAGCAATCCTGCAACTCTCATTTCATAGTCAAACAGGGACTTCACTCTCTAGTCATTTTTCGACCGTCCTTTGGCTGCATGAGGTAGGGGAACGAACTCCGCCAGTTGGGTAGGGGAACGAAAGCCGCCAGCATCGGTCGCCTGCGCGGAATGCTGGTCCCGGAACGACATGCAGTAACGCTGCGAAAGGAACAGTTCGCCGCGGAAGGCGGCTTAAACTGGCGGCTTTCGTTCCCCTATCCCGCCAGTTGAACCGTCTCCGCGGACTACTGGTCCTGCAACGACATGCAACAATATAGCAAAAAGACCAGCTGCCAGCGAAGGGGTGCTCAAAGTCCATTCCCCTACACGGCTGCCTGTTCTACTAATCAAGAATGAAAGATTGATAAAACTTTCTTTCTGCAAGTAGAAGTAAAAAGGAAAAGATCGCAGTACACAATAATTCTTTTATTACAGAAATTTAAAAAAGAAACGATATTTAGAACATTTACCTACATTTTTGGGAAAAAGTTGGCGCGCGTGGAAACAAAAATGCCAGTATTTCTGCACACTAATCTTGTTAGTGGAAAGTTTTTTGATATTTTGTTCAAAGCAAAGCATTCTCAAATACTTATCATTTATGACCATAGGTCTAAAAGCCGAGGGCAGGACTGACTATAATATTAGGTCGTTCCGAGAGTACTTTTGCTCTCTTCAAACGACAAACACCCCGTTAGATAAAATCATAAGAGTTACTAGTTGCTTTTGAAGCAATTTTTCAAGCCCTTTCAAAGGTTTAAGCCCTCTTGTAGTTTAGTCTGGGGGCTCCCAAAAAATCACCGGAATCTACAACCCATTCTTTTTGCCTGATCTATTCCCTTGCTTCTTTAAACTTTTATACCAACCCCCAAAGAAGCCTACATATGTCTTTAGAGAACCCAGGGTACAAAAGCTCGCCGGTTGATATTGTATGAAGTTTGAGTTCACCATATGCGGAATTTGATGGTATCGAAAAATTATTTTAAAGTTTTGAAAAAACAAGCCATAAAAAAGAGAGAATGTTTTGTCCCCTGCAAGGTTTGCTTTATCCAAGTTTCTTGGGCTCTTCGGATCTGTACAAAAATTTAGAAAAGTACAAACCTTGATTATGGCCATAGATGCGTTGTATGTAGATTTCTGTTTGGGGATCAGTTTTGTTTAAAAAAGCTTTTCTTTCAAAAAAAACAAAAATTATGAAAAAAAAGAAGTTGCTCCCTTGTTTTTTGCTATAATCTGGGATATGTATAACCACACTCACAAATTTCACTGTTATCCTTGATTACCTCATTTGACTTCGACTTCAATAGATGTGCACTTCGATTTTTTTTGCAAAACAATTACCATTTAGTTTTTTTATTTCTGAGGATGGCGAAGACCTGTAGAAAAGATCCGCAACCGGATCCAAGACGACTCAACCCAGTAGAGTCCGAGTACCGCAAAATTTTATCATCTTTGCTGAATTTTGGTTCTCAAAGCTTTCAAACGCACAGAAAGCCAAGAAGGTTGATAGGTAGTTTTATAAGTGTTATTTAAGAAAGTAAAAAATTTGGTGTTTCAGATGCTTGTGCAGTTGTTGCGGACTTATATACACATTGGGTTGTTTCGAATCTTTTGAAAAGCTCCACATTCTAGAAATAAGGACCCATGATTCGTACTATACGATACTATACGTACTGATACTATACGTCTGCAAAAGAAAGGGTGAAATCGTAGTTAACGAAAAATGATGGAGAACAGGAACTCACGGTAGGAGTGTTAATAATGATTACAAAAAGTTGAAGGCGCTATTAAGCGTGGAAATGATAAGCGCTAGTCTGCATTTATACAATAACTCAGACAAGCAAGGCGCCACTGCGCTTTTGGTGGGTCTAGACGGTGGCTTTGTGACTGCCGGCTGAGAGCCTTGGTCGAGAGGGCTGAAACGGCGGCACAGTCAGTCTGTGAATTTCTCCACTCTCTTTAGACAGCACTGTAGTGTCGTTATAATGCTGATAATCTGACAGTTTCACTGAGAATCGATTGGGAGTGGAAATACCGGGACAAAACACTATCAAGGTAGTGTTTTAAAGAGCCTTTGAATAAACACGATCTACTTCCATTATATAGTTTTCTTCCATGATTAAGTGCGGTCAATAATCACGCAGCTTGCCTTTTTCATTTCCGCCCACTGTATCAAGAATGCCGATATGTGGTACCCAACGTAAGTTTACGTAAGTTTGTACAAGGCTTTTTTTGCGATAAGAATTGATCATAATTATTCTGCAGAAAACCAAAATGCTTCACTGCTTTTTCGTTGGGCTGTGAATTGCTGCATAAGAATGTTGTAAATTGGTCGCTCTATAAAAAGAAAAATACCGTTCACTCTCGAGAGTCATAAATTGCCAGGAGGTTTCACGACCTGTTACAATCCACCCCATTACAACTCACCACATTTTTGATTTTTTTTCGAAACTGATACTTTTATAACCTTATCAACTTATGCGTCCCTTTTCTGTCTCCCAAAATGTTTTGGTTCGTCTTATTCCTCCTTCGTAGGTGTTCTCATTAAAGCAAATAAAATCTTGCATGTTTTTGAGTTATAATGCACGAGGAACCAAAGCCTGCGGCCTATGTCCGCGGAAGACAACTGGGGTGCGAGCATAGCGGGAAAACTTTGACAATCATTGCCAGGTTGGTATAATAATTTGGTCAGTTTTTTTAAATAACCCGCAAATCACTTTAGGCTGTATCCGGTGCAAAATTTCTTTCTCTTTTCAGCGGCTGCATTCGCAATGTGATTCGTTGCGAGAGTAGTGAGATAATCGCTAAAAATCACAATCCTTCGTTATCCGCATGTCCGACTTTCCCTGATTTTCAAGATTTTCATTTAAGAATTTTGGAGGAACTTTGTTAGCCAGCAAATTGGGTAAACCTTTTGCCAACCGAAAGAATTTTTAACCTTCTTCTCAGCTTCTCTCCCAGAATTTTGCTATATAATCTACTAAATTCTTGAATACTGGAAAAATCGCATACCACGTTGTTGCAAATTGCAAACTGCGAATTCTTCAAAGTACTTTGAAACTTCATATTTTACCACACTTATAAAGTAAATGAGCAAATCTTTAAAAACATGAAGTTGAAAGTAGAGCACGTCAGTACACACTCGTAAGATTGAAAACACCGCGATTTCCCCAGCAGAATTCGCGTGTCTTGCCAAGAAATGCGCATAATGGATGACAGGACATTTCCTTACAAGGTGAGCGTCTCTCTGTTTTGTGTGGGTCCCTGGGAAATCCACAGAGCATAACCCATTGCTGAGTCTATCTTCTTATGAACTCGTTGAAAACATGTAACTTTTAATGAGTATCTCTCAAAGTATGTTTATAGCAAAAATGAGTTCAGGTACTGTTCGCGAGCTGGGTCTTTTGAAGAAACACGATCTTCAAATTTACTTTATGTCTTGTCCAAAACATACAACTTTGAAACGATTTCCTCGAGTATACGGAAAGATAAACGACAGTGGAAACATCCGATACCCTGGGCATTCCAGGGAGACTACACAAACATTCTAAACCTCAGGTTATGGAGTATTGTCATATTATGGTAAGAATGCTTTCACGAGACAGATAGACAAATAAAAATTCTGGTGTTTGAATCAGCGAGATATGGTTACTTCTCAGCTCCTCTCCCTTTCAAGGGGACGTGAAATAAACATGTTTACAGAGCGACTGGTCGTTCAATCTGAAGATAGTACAGTTGTAAACCACGACCCAAGAAGTAGCCAAGGATTAACTGCAACAAAAAATACGTCGCAGTAGCACTGAAAAATAATTATTATAACCAAATGCTTTGAAGATTCATTTCAAAGTAAAACTGTAGCTTACTTTTTCAAAGTTATTTTTCACATTGAGAGTTCTATCCTTTGATTTTGTGAGCATTTTTTGCTGATATTGTGACAGGTACGTTAAAGTAATCCACCCAGAATATGCAACAATGGTCGCGGTAAGAGCAAGCGAAATGTTGAAGAGAACTATTGGCAGCCAGATACTCATCGTTTCAGTAGTGAAATGACCGACACAGCTCCACAAGGTTGTGATCTGAGTTCAAGTCTTAATGCTGATCAGTTAATGAAGATCCTCTTTATACGTACTTTGCCGTCCTGAGTACTTGCAGATATGATAAGCACTGCTCCCGTAAACAGAACAGCGATAAATGTTTGAACCTAAAAGAGATGGATATGTATCATATTTATGAGGATGCACATGTCGAAAAACGTACTGCAATTGAGCTAATTGGTAGGATAGATGCATTCAAAGCACTTCCCCATACGTTTCTGTTTTCTGCGAGTATCACATGGTAAACATTCACAGCTTCTAACGTGAAGAAGCATATCCCTAAATAACTGTCAACTTAATTTTAACCCATAAGTTGATCTATTTCAGCTATACCCAAGGAGAAACACATTGTGCCGATGAACCACCATAAATCGCAAGATGCTATCGATATGTCCAATATACCAGGGTGGTGGAAGAAGAGTATGACGAGACCACCAGGATGTAAATAGTGTGCGCATGTTTTGATAGAAAACTTGAGTGTCTTTAAAGTTTCTTTGCTAAGATGGCTGCGAAATAAACATAACCTACCTC